AGGTATTTTAATCTATTAACGGAAAACAGCACAGTATTAATAAAACTATTATCATAATTCAGCTATTTATTTTTCTTCTTGGAATAAGATATTCCAAGTTTTTTTGTTCAGTGCACGGGACTCGACCTAATCTTTATCTTTGCCATGTCAAGCCAAAGTTTGTGGCCCAAAACTTTGGCTGTTCCCTTGTGCCAATGAAAGTGGTCAGTTAAAAAATGTCAACCCCTCCACCAGCAGTCCCCTTTGAAGATGCCCAAGTAAGACAAAGAGGAGCGAACTATAGCGAAAGTAATATGTCTGGGGCATGCATAATTACCAAACTTTGCGGCCGGGGCACATAAGTCATACTCCTGCCTGACCAGTTGTACAAGAGTCCTGCGCCAGGATTTATTTTAATATCGGACGGGGAGAGAAGGTGGGCTGCAAATTAAACACGACACTGCGTCGTTATCTTTATAAATCAAAGGGAATTACAAGCCCATTTCTCAACCCCCAGAATTTCCAGCCCACATGTGAATGCCGCAAATTCTGGAAATTGTTGCAAACCCTTTCGGCAAACAGCTCAAAGGATTCTGCTGCCCCATCTTCTCTCCAATTGTGGACATATTTTTAATGATTTATTTCCAATTTAAGCAAGATTTCGTACTTAAGATGCCCTGCCTAATGGCCGTTGGCAGCCACCACCCCCAGGACGCAAGGTCAGTGGTCACCCGGTTTCCCATTGGAATTCCCCCAGATGAAAGGGTGCAGCCTTTTCCTTTTCCTTTCCATTTCCCTCCGCTTCGTTTTCTGGCAGTGTGCTAATATGCAAATCCAATTTATTGCACTGTACTCCCCTCCTCTTTAGGTTTCCTGTACTGCACAGAAAGAATTTTAAGAATTTAGATATTTAATAATATTGTTTTAAAATGTATGTTGTAAGATTTATATTGAGCATATGTTTGGATTTAAATTTTCATGTTTGTGGCAAAAGCTTATTCTTAAAATAAAAAAAAATGGTGTTCAGTCTTAGGAACTTAAATTTAGTTCAATATTTTTTATTAGATTTTTTGACAAAATTAAAGGGTTTTCAATCATATTAATAATATTGTATTATAAATCCGAGGCATAAATCTAAAAAACAGGATTTTCCAATGGTTGAATAGAATTTTAAGCATTTTGATTTTTGTTTTGTTAAAAAAAATATCATTTTATGGTAGTACATACATAATAATGGTTTGGTTAGGTTTACTTTTTATTTATCTATATATTTTTTTCAGTGCTGCTTGGTTGTCCTTGCGCTGGGCGTGAGTTATACGAATCCTTTTTATCTCGACTGTCGCCTGGCGTGCGTCGGGCGCATAAATCTTGTATAAGTTCGCTCCTTGGCAAGGAGTCAATATGCTAAATCAGCAGAATCCTTTCTCCCCGTAAGGATTCTGGTCGGAAGGATGTTTGGACAGCTGCTAAGACATTTCAATAACGCTGCGAGCCGAAGCTGAGAGATTCTAAGGCGACAATGGTTCCTTGCCTTGATGCTCCTCGAATTTTCCTGACCGATGTTTGTTGAATTTTAATCATTTGCGTGATGCAGCCTCAAGTTGAGTATGGGTACCAACAACTTGATCGAGAGCGAGAGTTGGGGAAAGTGAATCAAAGGACAGGTTGAGGGTGGATTGTGTTTGAATTTGCAAGCGAAGAAAGTGCAAAGACCTTAAGGATACGCTAACCACTTTTCCCTTCAACTCTGGCAAAATAGTTATCCAAACAAAGTGACTGAGAGAATGCAAATTGACTGGAAATCCCAATAACCAATAAATGTAATGCACATAAGCTTGAAAGCTTAAAATACACTTGCGGTTTCACTGTTAGTAATAAATTGAAAAACGGGTTTAATTTATCTAAACGATATTGAATAAGTAGGTATTCTTTTAAAACGATTAATTAAGACAAAACTGTTCTGGGTTATATCTATACTAAAAAAATTATAAGTTCGTGTAATGAAGAGTGAACAGTGTTGAAAATAAGCGTAAATAAGCGCAACAATCAAAATATACTATTCATTTTTACTTAAACTTTGACTTTGGATTAAATTAAAAAACTCTTGTAACATATTATAGATTTTTCCTGATGTAAATATTTTTAAAATCAAAAAAAGTGGATTTTGATAACCGTAAAGACCATCATCGTTATAAAAATTTATTCGATCCGGGTTCATGATCATTTAGTACACTCCATTCGCTCGCTTGACTTTTTCAACCGGTTTGAAAGGATTTCCCGGGGGCTACGCCTGTCACTCTTCAATGGGCGCCCAGAGATTTATGGTGGGAACAGCAAACAAGCGGAGAAAGTGGAAAATAATCGGAGAGAAAAGAGTGGAGTTCAGATGAGTGAAAGACAAAGGAACTATCCGGACATAAATCATCTCCCGGCGGCAGGCGGCGAATGTCCTGTAGCGCTGACTGCCTGCCACTTGAAGTCAAAACCGGTTCGGTTTGGCGAGGTTCGGTTTGATTCAGGACCCTAAAAGCAGACAGGACATTCCATTTTCCAATTCTCATTTCCATTTCCATTTCATGCCTATTGTCCTGTTCGGCATTGCAAATTTGTCAGCGAACGAAGAGCAGGACAAATGTCAGCACGATAAGCGTGAAGGCTCTTTTATCTAAGGATATACGCAGGCTGAATCACTTGCACGTCTCGCCCCGAAATATTTCACTACCAAATTGGCTGGCTATCTCTACGCACTCCGTAAAAAAATATGGAAAAAATTCTGATATACGACTTGAAAATACCCGATATTTAAAGAACATTTTCAAAGTTTGTAGCCAACAAAATTGCAGTTCTGTGGAAGGTTGTGTTATTTCGAATCATCATAAGATTGGTAAAATAACAAAATTAATCTAAATATTATATTATTATATAGCAACTTTTTCGTTTTATAAAATCATATTTTCAAGAAACACAGCTTACATTTTAATTATTGAATAAAATATTTATTCAAATGTCGTAAGAGCGTATTCGTTTTGATATACATACCAATAGAAGGCACACAGGGAACACCATATTTTCTAAAAAAATTACTTTCACAAAAAATGCAATAAAAATCATTGGCAAATTGGTCGAGAGGCATGAACAAAAGTTTGCGTCCGTTAGCCAAGATTGATAGTCGGTCCAAATGTCACGCTTTATTTGTATGCTGGACACACCACCCAGAAAACTCCGCCATCCTTCCTTACTTCTTTTGGTCAATCGAACGAATTGCGCTTAAATATTTACAGCGCTTATCAGAAAAATTTGCGGGCCATTGTCGAATCGGATTGATGCAATTTTAAATCCGCAACGAACAAGGACATCTGCTCAAATATTAGCTTATGGAATTGTTTAAAATGCCAGGCACTAACCCATTCACTCTGGTCACGCTCCGAAAACGGAAAATCTGGATGGAGGCCAGGAAACCCAAGCACTGTCTTTTGACAGTTGCCACAATTTATCATAATTCAATGCATGGCATGTCCTGTCAATCACTCGAATCGACATGGACATCGAAAGGGTGATTCAAGCACACATTAGCCCCCGGGCAGGGGGTGGATCAGGCCGATGGTTGTGGACATTTTTACAAGTGACTTATGAATTATTCTTTCTACTTGTTCCTGTCCATCCAATAAATCCCACACAGAGAAAATCATTTATAATATCATTGAAAAAGTTTTCTATATCGACTTAAAGCCTCTTTCGATTTCTTTTACAAAAGGTTACAAAAAAATACTTCTTTTGATTTGAATTTATTTATTTTTTATTTAGGAATTTAAGTAAATCTTTTTTTTCAAGTATAAAACCACACATATTATTTTTAACATTATATTTTTCAAAATGCTTATTAATTTTAAAAATAATCTTTTTTCTCTGTGCGGTCTACGTCTCGCTTAACTTCCTCTTTATGGTTGGCTTTTTGTGTTTTCAAATCAGATTAAGCTGGGAAAGGGGTTAAGGGTACGGGGTTATCCTTAGCGGGAGGTGACTACATGAAAGGGTCAATAATGGGACTCGAGGCGGAGACGTTTATCAAACGGAATATGCGATGCGAACAAACCATTAGACACTGGCCACTGATGGACAGGCGAGACGTGATCCCAGATACGGCTCATCAAGTGCATTGTCATGGGACAATAAAGGGTTAATCGGCTAACTGAGGGATTGTAATATTATCTTCTTAGCAAGCTGGTTTTATAGGATGTTAGCAAAAATTAAACAAAAGAGGATCTTAGTATTAAGTGTATCAATTGAACGGGCTATCAAATATTCTACACATTTCGGAAATCCTTAGGGACCTTTATAATCCAGATAGTTTTATCTTTATAAAACCAGCCTGGGGAGGAAACATTTTTCTATTAACAAATATGAAATCTAAAACTCAAAGATATCCCCTGCCCTTTATTTATTTTAATTAAATAAATTTGCATTTTTATAAGGGGTTACATCATACATTTTTCTAAAATTTGACCAAATATTTGTTTTCTAAATCTAAATGCAAACTGTTCAAGAATTTTTTTACGAGTTCAACGAGGTATGACACTCCATGATTCAAACTGATTTGTTGGAGTTCAGGCTTGTTTCGGGGTGACTTTTTTAAAACATTTATTGCAAATCTTTTCGAAAGAAAACTACATCCAAAGCATTGGACCATCTGAAAAAAAGACTGCCCCATAGCCATGAATTTATCTGAAATATTACCCCAATAAAAATAAAGGACATTACAATTTTTCTGTTACATATATTATTTATTTATTTAAGAACTTGCTCGTCTAATTGACAGAAAAATATAAAGATATAGGATGTATTAAATGAGTTGTGCTTAAGTGTCTTCCTATGCGAATGATCGATTTCACTTAAACCTAGGCGAAATCTCAGCGATTGCATAATGCGGAGCCCCCTCCCGAGGTGTACGGAAAATCACAACTCAAAGAACTTAATTATATAATATAAGACTTCTCGCGTGCGGTGATAAGAAACAATAGATGTGGAATTTTGCTGTGCTGATTTTGAGGATCGCAGTCAAACAGATAATTTATTGGCCAGTCAAAGAGTTTTTTGTTGACTTGGTGGTGATTTACTGGCGGACCCTCGGGGAAGGCTCTCTCGGCTAACAGATAACAGAACACTTTATGAAGTCGACTGGCTGATAATTTTGATGCGTGACTGGGCGCTGCTCCACAATATCTCAACCTTCTTACAAGGTCTTGTCGAAGAGGAACTCGCCAAGCTCGCCCTGGGAGACCATCATCTTCTTGAGGGTGGTAAGCTTGCCGGCCAGCTCGCGCTGTCCATGGAGCTGCTCCTCCAGATAGACACCGGTCAGGTAGTCCACCAAATGGTAATGGTTGTAGGGCTTGCCCTCGCAGGTCTGGATCAGCTTGCGGATGGAGCGGGTGACCTTGATCTCCAGGTCGAGGGCATCCTGCAAAGCGCTGGCGCCATCGGTCCACTCCTGCTTCGACACAGTCTGCGGGGTATTCACCGGGATTAGCTGGTTTCCGGATTTAAAGGAGTTTTCTTGACTTACCGGTACGTAGATCAGATCGCTGACTCCTTCGGTCAACTGACCGCGCATGGATAGATACTCCACCAGCTTGGAACCGTGCTCACGCTCCTCCTTGGCGGCCTTGAAGAAGTGCTCCGCGAATCCGGGGCGGTTGACAGTGTCTCGAGAGAAGTAGGCGCCCATGGCCAGGTACTGGTAAGAGGCATTGATCTCCTCCTGGATCTGGTGGCGCATGCCCTTGAGGCAGGCGTCCTTCATGTCCACCCAATCCTTGGTAATCTCGGGCACCTCCAGGGAGCCTGTAAAGGTATTTGGTTAGGATTAGTCGGAGGTTAGTGAAAAAATAATAAACCAGGCTTAAGTCAAATTTTACTAGCTCCAAAAATGTAAAACTAAAATGTACACTAAAATTTGTAGGCAATTTTGAAAAAATTTGAAAATCTAACTTTTTTTTTTTAAATAATTAAGAATATAATTAAAACAAAAATTATTCAAATATTGTTTCGTCATATAGCAACAAAACAACTAAAGAATGACTTTAAAGTTTAACCATAATAAATGATACAAATGAAAACTTCTCAAAGCAATATTTTTTAAAACATAAATGGAATTCGACTTAACCAAGGGTCCTGGGAAATTCCAAAGCTTATAGAAACCTTTGCACCCCTGATCTTGACATTCTTCATTGCTTGGTTTTTGTTTTTGCGTTTTTGCCTCTTTGACCAGCTCTTTCGCGAAACTTTTGCTTTCTTTCTTGGCTGGGGGAGGCGGGTTGTTGCATTTAAGAGGGCGTTATTGCATAAAAATTTTAAATTTGGCTTGAAATGCCGTTATTCTAGGGCAAGGGGAACGTGTGCAAAACTGCATTCACTCTTTTATTCTCTCTTTTTGTAACTGCAGTGGTAACGTGCGCAGTTCTCTCTCCGCCATAGTAACGGCATTTGTTTTGGTGTGGTGTCGTGTGCAAATAGCATGCTTAATCATTACATCTCCCTCGCGCAGCTAAAGCCGTGTGCAAGAGAGCTTGGAATGGACTTGGAATTGTAGCAACAAGGGTCAGGGTGCTTTTATTATAATATTATTCATGGAAATGAAAGCGAAATTCGCATATTTTAATTATGGAAATTTGTTTTTAAAAACTGGTTTGCATTTCCCCAAAAGCGTAACGGAAGTATCAATATTTTTTAAATCAACTGGTTTGGTTACTCAAGTAAAGAGAGTAAAAAAAACCAGCTAAGAGAGCCCGCGCATGCTCTCTTTACCACACGCATTACAACTGTTTTCTGCTCTTTGCGTATTGCGTCGAAATTTATTGTTTTTTTCCTCTGACCTGCCTTTGTTTTGTTTGAAATTGGTTGATATTATTTATAAATAGTACTTACACTTGAAGTCTGCATAGGCCTGGGCCACCACGGCCAACAGGAGCAGGCTAGCGATTAATTTCACCATCTTTGATCGTCGAATGGAAGTCTTTAGCACGAAATCACAGAACAAATTTGTTTGTCACTTTAGTTTGTTTTGCTTGAAATGCACAAATGAGAATGAGGCGACTCGAGTTGGGCTGATTTGTTAAATAGGCCTCTCTCTTTATCGAAATCGAAATCTAGCTGCCTTTACACACACTGGCACAGAAGGCGTCGCCTGCTTCAATTTGATGGGCTTTGATTGGGATTATTTTTAATTCTCGAATGGTCTCCAGTACCTTCTGGTTGACAGCGTAATCTGTTTTTCAGTAGAGCTAATGCTTTGCTTTGTGTTGTGTGATGGGGAACTCGAAAGCGAACTGTCGCTCCAAACGGCGCACAAAACACTTTTAAGCGCGTTCGCTCTTGATTTTTACTTGCGTGTGTGCGTGAGTGGGAGAGTGTGCACGGTTATCTTTCCAACATGTCGCCGTTTCTTTGTTAAGCGTTTAAATGGCTGATAATTGAATATTCCCGATGATAGACGCACTTAATTTAATACACACGTCCTCACTGTGGCTATTGCAGTAGGAAAACTCGGGTTTCCTACTCAGCTAATCGCAAAAATTGTCTAATGCAATATGGCCGCTCTTTTGAGCTCTGCGTCAGCTGTTCTTTGTTTTTGTTTTGGCTGCAGAAGAGCAACACGTCATGGGTTGCCAGGCGGTTTAATTTTCGTCTGATTTTCGGCTGACAATTTAATTCTTTTTCTACCGAGTTGTTTGTCACGTTCGTCGAGGGGATCAATCAGTAACTTTGATAACTACTAAATATGGCGACGGCGCTGTTGGTGTCGTTTGCAAGGCTCCATAAATGACACTTGATAAGGGGGATATGTGCTATGAAAAACATACAAATGATGTAACATTGGGAAAACCCTTTTAACGACACCAATATATTTTACTGTCCATTTAAGCAGAATCATATCAATTTTGTTCCACTAAAAATTATTATAAACTTTGAAACTGCTTCGTGAAACCCCTGCGATTCTAATTTGTATAAGGTGCTTCTTAATAAGCTTATTATATCAATTAAAATTGTTTCTTGATGTTACAGAAGTTTGCACTTTCTGCCTGTTACAGGTTTTCATGTCAATTTGGGGCTATATAGGCATTTAACTAATTGTTTAGTTTTAAATATTATTTTAAAGGGTTCGTGTGCGTCTGAAAGTAGGTTGAAATAATTTATAAAACATCAAATCTTCGTTTCATACTGATAAAGATCTCAAGAAACCACTTAAAAACTGCAACCATACAAAGAAGCAAAGTGCAGTGTCCATTTTTTGCACACGTTGGCAACCCTGCTGTGAGTCACTCTCCAGTCGGCTACAAGAACAACACTCTAGCGGCCATATTGCCGTTTCCAAGATGGAATGACAACGAAATCCCCGCACTGAGCGCAAATCGACAAATGCCCATGCACTCTCTCCAAAAACCCACAAACACGCACACACACAACCTTATCGATCGCATAGAAAGAGACGAACGCGACGCTATAAACAGCACTCGATTTTCTGAGTTCCAACAAGCAACACATAAAAGCAGCGTTATAAGCTAAAGTAAAGTGAAGCACATTGCAGACACTTGAAGTGAGTTTAGTTAAATTACTGGCTAGTTAGTGAGTGTTTGGTGAAAAGAATCGGAAACGAAATTGCTCGAAAACCTAATATAAAAAACAGAAAACATTGAAAAACGAAAACAAACCATTGGTGGTGGTTGTGTTGTGAAAAAACAAAGAGAGGGGGGCGAGAAATTTCAAGAAAGCTCTACGACGCAAAAGGCGAATTTCCAAGCCAAACGAAAACACAAGGGGCTGTTTTCCAATTGTCACTTATTGTGAAACTAATTTCCTTTGTTTTTGCATTTCGATTTTGATTTTAATTTACAGTAACCAACCGTGAAAATGAAACTGTTCGTTGCACTCGCTCTCTTCGCGAGCCTCAGCTCTATTGCCTTGGCCAAGGATGAAGAGTACTGCCAGAACACGGTGGTCACCGCGTGCTCTTCGTCAACCTTCTCCGGTGAGTAAAGAGAACGCTCTGAGAGAGAGCATGGGTGAAGAGAACCTAATTTTTGTTCGTGTATTGTTGCTTTTGTACCTTTATAAAATAATAAACAAGCGCTCACTGGCTTTTTCACAGGAAAAAGTAAGTTTAAAGTAAATTAGATGTTTTGAAACAAAAAATATATACCATTCTACACTGTTCAAGTTTATGTTAAACAAATTGTAATACCAAACTTCAATCCCTTCTTAGTGGCCGCACTTGAAAACTTTATTAAGTATTGACAATTTTATTTTGTATTTTTATTGATACTTTCTCATTGAATTGGCTTATAATTTTCTTATTTAAGTATTTATTATTTTTTGTATCCGGACAATTAATATAATATATTGACCATTCTTATCTGAGTTGCTTGTGTTGCCAAAATTTGATTGATAGTTAATATTTTTACTGCTTCCCAATAAGGGCAAAAACTTCCTTCTAAATGTGTCTTCCCGCCTCATAGATCTATAGATTGTAATGTTTTTTTATTTGTTTCCCCTTTTTCTATAGGCAACTCCATTTGTAATGCCCGTTTCGCTGGAATTGACCATGTGGAGCCCGAGATCCAGGCCTATATCAACTCCCAGTTGACCAAGTCGTACGACTATCTGTTGCTGGCCACCCACTTCAACTCGTACCAGAAGAATCGCCCCGGCTTCCAGAAGCTGTACCAGGGTCTCTCGGACCGTTCCTTTGACGACAGCATTGCCCTGATCAAGCAGGTGACCCGCAGGGGAGGAATTGTGGACTTCAACACCCGTCACGAGTCTCCGGCCTCGGTGAGCACCAAGCGCACCACTGTGGAGGTCGATGAACTGCACTCCCTGGCTCTGGCTTTGGACAACGAGAAACAGCTGGCCTCTGGAGCTACCCACGTTCACTCCCGTGCCACCCACGCCACCGATGCCGACCGGGATCCCGAGCTGGCCCACTACATCGAGGAGAACTTCCTGGGCAAGCAGGCCGAGACTGTGCGCAAGCTTTCTGGTTATGCCAACGACCTCGCCAAGCTGATGAAGGTTCCGGACCCATCCCTGTCCGTCTACCTGTTTGACGAGTACCTGCAGAAGCAGTAAATCGTGGAGACTTCTTCCTCCCTCCACTCCTACACTATTCCGTCAAAATTGCTCTCATCTTCCCGCAAAAATATCGCACTTTAATTCCCTTATAAATTAATTTGTTTCCTTGGTTTGTTCACCAATAAATCGCAGTGCAGTAGGAGCATTATCAAAGCAGCCAAAAATGAATGATTTACACACCCGGTTTCCCAAGTTCACCTTAATTTACCAGCACATCAGATTGTGATAATGTTATCATAAATAAGTTAGCAAGTTCGCCCCAGCAAATGTATCTTAAGCATGTACGTTACCGCTTGAACAAATAAACACAACAAAGTAACTAAATATGAACTAGTAAAACAGCATATTGTTTGCCTCTGTGATAAGGTTTGGGTTTTCGAAATGTATCTGGTTTTGTAGGCGGTCCTCGTTGCGGGGCGTCTGTTTGTGTTTTTCTTCTCCGAGTGCTGATAGCTGGCAATGTACTTTGGATACCACATGGAACAATGGAACTCACAATGGCAAAAACCACCCAGATTTGCGATTACAAAGGGTGTAAAGTTCCAGAATGTTGTCGTTTATTCGGATATCGTAAAACTGCAGACCATGGGACTTATTTTTACAAAGTTGTTTTTAGAAAAAAATTCACATTCTCTTTGGGAAAACTTCCGTAAACGTAATATGAATACAATTTTTTGGCTTAAGATTAAAAAACAACTCTAAAATTGTATAGCAACAAATTGTGCAAAATTCTGTGAATTGAAAAATGGGAAAGTACAAATAATTATTTGACTATTGAATTCATTATTTTATGCGTATTAAATTATATGATTTAATATTAAAATATTTTGACTTATGTGGAAAATATTAGGTTTAAAATAGTTTATATTTGACATAAACCAAATATATCTTAAGTTTAAATAAAATTTTCAGATACTAAAATCAATTCTCAAAAATAAATATTAAAATGAAAAATTTTGAAAAGTTGTATTTTTATATTTAAAATGATGAAATGGTTGAAAATCAAAGCGAAAAATATTTAAATTCAGTACATAATAGTATGACAAATTTATAAATATAAACTCTTTATAAAAACTGAGTTTTAACCATGTTCGAAAGATGAACCAAGGATCTTCTTTGTATTACTCAGATATATAAGAAATTATAAATATTACTTTATAGCATTTGACAACGTAAATTGATGGTAAAGAGTGTGAAGTCATTCAGACCAGTCAATTTCTGGAGGGATCTTAGAGGCTTAAAGGAGTCGCACAATCTTATCATTGATATACTCCTCTGCCTGATAAAGTAGGGCCACGTTTGTTCAATTGGTTGCTATTCCACGAAAGATTCTCTCTTCGAGCTTATCGATCGTCTGGTGCACACGGCTGTGCTGTTCCGTCCGGAAAAAGTTCCGGCTGAATGGGGGACTGGGCGCCATCTTGGCAGCCTGCTGACTAAGTCGGAACCTTAAATGACGTGGATGTCACATTGTTACGTAAAGCGATGCAATCTCATAGACGCGCAGATGGTTTTTATTGTCCGATTTTTTTGCATCGCAGTTTTCTTATCACCTCCAGCTCTCTTTTCACTTCCCTGACCTACTCGAATTGTGTATATAATTGCGTATAATCGTTTAAATAGAAAAATATAAACAATATTTAAAATATACATGCTATTTTAAAATCAAATATGAATATGATTTATGTTCAAACATAAGAAGCTGTTACAGAGGTCTATAAGAAAGGTTAAAAGAAATGCTCAAAATCGTTGTTAAATTCTAATTTCATATATGTATATAGTAAATGTGGGCTAACAGTTTTTATGCAAAGATATTTTCTTGTGGCTAAAGATAGAACCTTGCAAAGCTTTATTAAACAGATGTTGATTCCAAGTGTAAATTTCGGTTGAACTAAAACTTTCTTTTATCACTTTTGTTAGCGTTTTATTATTTTCTCGGAAGATATTCTAGAGCATTGTGCTTATTATATGTGACTATGGATTTCAGCCACGCATCAGGGCAATTTATCAATTAGCGACGCCCATTCAATGAGGACTATGCTCATATCGCCGAACATCCGGATACGGTTCACTAGCACGTGAAATGAACGTCAATTTGCCATTTTAATGCCGCCATAACTACTCCGGTGGGTTGGGGTCAGGGGTCATCAAATCGCAGCACCCGTATCTGTGGTATAATGCGAATCCGTGTAACTGCGTGCTCTTATGTAATTAGAATATGACAACCATAAGGGAAAACTCCATTCGGGATCATAACAGTTAGGACGGAATGAGATTGAAGTGAGTTGATGTGGTGGGGTGCTTCAAAGTGGTTCTTTAGTATCTCCGAGTGCGTGCAGTGGTCATTAAATAATAATCCACTTAATATTAATTGCCCTGATTTGCAGATGAATGCTGCCTCAATGATTTTCGTTATGCCCTCAAAGCACACATAGAAAAAAGTGAAAAAAAATATTTACTTTTGTATAACATTTGTTGCTATTTAAAAAAAATATTTTGCAAATTTTAACAAAATCATTACAAATTAAAAATACAAATAGTTTTTAAACTATTCAATTAGCAAGTTAATATATTTAAATTATCATTATTTTCCTCTGTGTAGATAGCCAAAAAATCATGAAAGAGGGTTGGCTAATTGCGGTCATTTGTGGTGCATTTGGCGAGGATCTTAACTTTGCCATTTGTAATTGTTTGGCCATATAAGCCATCGTACAAATTATGTGGACGAGAACTCGTTTCACCCAGCGATTCCACACATGCCCTAAATGGCGGCCATAAAAAGGTGTCTTTGGCCCAAAATGATTCTATTAATTTATGCATTTTAATAAAAGCGTCAAGCAATTACAAAGGGTTGAGGTTGCGGATTCGATGATGGCAGGGGGTTAAAAACTATTTGGAAGGCCAGATGTTGTCAAAGGATTCGGGATATTTCGGTTATTGTTCGCCAAGCCCAGACAACTATGAATATGAAACCCATCTGTGGGTGAGTGTATGTGCGTGTCCTGGACATGCGGGACACACATAATATGTATGCAAAATAGCAATTTAATTTCGTTTTATTGCAATGCCATTTGCAGCCAGTGAAAGGCAGCTGCGCCGACAGCTTCCGCCAGGCTCCCCATAAATAATCCTTGAACCACCCACTCTATAAGACCCCACTTTTCACCCCTTGCCACCGCCGGTGCAATTTTAATGAAAAGTCTTGTCTCCTGGCCTTTTGTTTTCGCCATGTTTTCGCTGGCAAGGCAGACAGGCAAAGAAGCGAAGTTGTTTGCCATTTTTCATTAACAAATTTTTGCAGGGGCCGGGAGGAGTGAATGAGAATCCTTATCACAACGTAAATATTTAAACAGTACTTTAAGCATCAACAGTCTTCTCATAATACGTTTATGCGCTATAAAGTAAATGTTTCGTTATTAATCAGGCACACAAATCGGGTGCTTAATTTATTTAATAACTAAATAACTTTTTATTAATTAAGCCTCTTTTCGATTGAAAGGCTTGTAGCACTGACTTGTCTGTCTTTTTATTAATTTACTACTGATTCTATTATTGATTCAGTCTGTATCTAATCACGGGAATACAATTATTGTTAGTTGTTGAATAAGTGTAGTTAACTTTTTGAATACGGCTTAGTGCCAAATACCAAATAAACAGAAAAGAGAATTGTGTTTACATTTTGATATTATTTTGCTGTTAAAACAGACAGACACTAGCTGATGTTGTACTGTTTTATCGGTTTTATTAAGTAAACATAACTTATTGAAAATACGAAGAAAAGCATGCAATTGTCTTTGTCTAATCCAAAAGAAAACATTTCCAGATTAAATATTACCATCTTAATCAATAACAACAATGACTTTTTTTAATCTCAATCATAAATGTTTTTCCAATAGTTTTTTAACTTATCTTTTTCAGAAAAGGAAAGAAAATAAATCAAACGTTTTATGGATTAAATTCAACAATTGAATTCTATTTTATATTTATTTCCTTTTTAAATCAATCATCTTCTTTTATTAGAGGTTTGCCCGATCAACATATTGTACTCCGTTGGATGAAATCGATAGGTCTCCAAGCTATTTGTTCAATCATCTTGAAAAGGGGAAATTTCCTAGGGGATTGCTCGATTAGCCAGGCAATTGAGTGGTGAGGTAAGAGGTTTACAGGCAAATAAATATGGCAACAAGACAGGGGATTGACTAATGGATTTCCATGTGGAAATTCGCGATAAGCAAATCACTGATAAGCGAGCGATTCCCGCCCTTTATTGTTGTTTTCCCTGGTTGCTAAATAATGCAATTTTTCGCAATTTCGCTGAGGTTTCCACAGGGGGATGTCCAGGATATATTCTAAAGCAACCTGATCCCGATTCACTTCCACCCCTTGGACTGTTTTTGTTGATTTTTCAGCTGCTCAATTTGCATGTATTCACTTTTCAAGGTCAGTGGGTAAAAACAAGTTGCAAAAAAGTTCGCAATTCGCATAAGGCACCCCATCTGAAAGCTTGAATTCAGAAGAGCCACCCCGATTAAGTCACCAAGGGGTAGCTATCGTAATTGTTATTTTAATACCCTCCATGTGGGTATTATGCATATTTAAAATAATTTAAAATCAGTATACTCTATTCGTCTGCGGTCTTAATTTCAATTATATCAGTCCAAATTAGATTATACAAAGTTTTATAATTAAATTAAATTCAATTAAATTTTCGTTTTAATATATTTTAATAATAATTTATCTTTTCTTTTTTTATATATGTTTTGGACAGACCCAAATAATCAAGTTAAAGTTTATCAACTATACACGTTAAAACTTATATAATAATAGGTTTTCTTGAACTTATCTTTGCTACATATAGGGCATGCGATACATCTAAAAGAGTATCTTAAGTTTCGTTACCGGAAGTTATTAATCCCCCTTGTTTTTTGTTTCTTGTGCTTAACTGACGCGAGTCCTCGAGCGGAAATGGTCAGAAATGACATGTGGCCGGCAATTTGCATACGCACACGCACATTTGCTAAGTTCCTGGGCCTAGCCCTAGCCCACACACAAAAATCAAACAGAATCCGACTCCTGGCAGCTGCTCCCCTCTCCTTTTCCGATTTGCTGAATAATGCGTGAGTCAGGCACGCGCAGGACTAAAAAGCTGGAGAACGACTGTACTTTTGAGCCACCCCTGAGGGTTGGAAAACACTCGTACAGCCCACAAACTTCGCAATGAGCGTAAATTCTGATTCTGATTTTGGCTTCGGGCTGGTCTTCCTCAAATATTTATGGGAAATTTTCTGCACTGGCACTAAATTAAAATTCAATAAATCATAATTTGCTACGATTTGTCT